TTTGTCTGATAAAGGTTTCAGTTTTGAATTTGCACAGTTTGGGATAGGGTTCTGTTTTCACTGTTCTGTGTGTCATCTTAAGTGACAAAGACAATCTGCACACCCTACAGTTCTTTCCAACTCATAACAGGATTTCAAGTGTCCAAATGCACTACCAAATCGAGAGCCACGACACTGCTGCACTTCACGTGCCATTTTCAACTACGATTCTGCAGTACCGTCCGTGACATTTGCAGTTCACAAGCATGTTCAAGGGTTATATGGGAAGCTTTCCCTGGGTGGTTGTTGCCAACAGGCTCTGCCATTTCAACCTCAGTCCCAGAAATAAGAGAATGTAGAAAGGTAGTGTATATGTATTTACACATAAAGGGTGTCTTACTGCATCGACTGAACTGGTATACGTGTATATATACATGTATTCATCAGTCGCTACAATTCGGACATGAAAAGTATCACAGTACAAGTATACATACGTACATGGGTAATTCCAGAAATTAGGGGTCCATTTTTTTTCGTGTCCCTGTCAAATCTGACATATGATTTTGTAAGTTCAGAACACATTTTCTAATTTCCGAGAGTGATGAATAAATGCAAATAACCTGCCAAACAAATAGTAATAGTTTGAAATCGATTCTAGTGATATTTTCATGTCATAATAACAAAGATCGTGTGTAACAGGGACATGAAATGTCACACTTTTGGACCTGTAATTTATGGAATTACCCACATACACTCCTGAGACCGAGCTCCAAATTCAGCAAAATGAAACTAAAGGAACTTACCTAATGAATGGAATATTGTTACACGCATGCAAAGTCTGGAAATACATGCACTGATGCAAGTTATACACCATGCAGCGTACGCAAAGATGAGAATTTCTGACTGCAATGTACTTTTATAGGCTGTATTTATAAGCTTTTGTTCAAGCCGACAGGGATTTAAAGACACACCCAGCCCACTAAGCTACATGTAATCATGTGACTGAAAATCTACAGTGTCATTGGCTATCACCTACATGTTCATAAATATTCATGAAGTATTTCTCCTATGGGGAAAATCCCATATGCTGTAACACACTTAAGTTGGGGAATTCCCCTTCCAACATGCAGTATGATCAAACTGACATAGACCAATAGTGCAACCTCATGCAGGCCAATGCTCTTCCAAGTAATTATCATTATGTGCCTACAACATGTATAGGATTTTGTAGGGTTACACTCTGGCTCCACAAGTCTTTGCACCTATGAATTTAAACTACATAAATAGTCTGTTGTGTGCAACTGAAAAGATGAATGGCAAGAATCCCACACAGAACAAACATTTTTGAGTGTCAAAACCACTAGTTAACAAGGCAGGGTGCAGGTTAATTTCAGTGCATGTGAAATGTCAGTCTTGTACCCCTATGGCTATGTTGCACTCAACAAGGCTTCAACTGCCAACACTTGTTAAGAACTGCATAGTTCCTGACAGCATCCTCCTCCAATTATGAACTTGAGAATTCCTTATACGGACGCAAGTAGTTTTTCTCCCACGTAGAAAACAGAACTTTTCTGACCAGTCTCATAGATTTCATGCACAAAGTGTCAAGTGACATCTATCCAGAACTCTTACAAACAAGCAGAGCAAATCCTTCACCACAGGTTATGAATATTCCATAATCGCCGCACGGCCGAGCGAGAACGTACTCCAAGCGGGCTTTGTCAACTGTGGTAGTGGTACATGCATCATAAGGGACAGTCCCGTTTCGCCGTTGGTCCGCTCCCACGTGCACTTGTTAAATTAAATAGCGCCACCAATGGCCCACAGAAAATGCACACGGTGCACGTCAAAACTTACCATGTGGTGGGGGGGGCACAGGTAGTTATGGTACTTGTTAGAGGTCCGAGTTGTCTCCATGATGCTAACACATAGGCTGCAACTTTCAAAACAAGCTATATACCTTACTGTTTAAAAGGCCAAGGCATGGATGGGAAGAGCGAAGGGATTGGATGATGCTAGTTGACCTGACAGTGGTGAAATTAGAATCACAACTTAGTCTCAACATTTACTACAAACAAAAATGCCACAAGCAATTCCTTTATAACGCTTCACTGAAGCTGTCTTTTTTTTTTTCCGAATTGAAATTTAGAAATGACAAATTGGACAGAAAGAAAACTCCCCAGCCTCCCACTATTTATACAAGACGCATCCCCACCCAAAACTATACACAAAAAAAAAAAGGTAGTCTGGAAAACCATTTTTGTAGTCTTTGAACTTTTTATTACCATTTAAAAAATATCTCATACAGCTCGATTACTCTTCTTTGATTTGCAATAACATCAGTACACAGTGGATACAATACTACATGTGATTTAAAACTGATTGAAAAAATTAACCAAGACTGTTTGTATAACTTTTACCAAAATGAAACAATGAACAATCGTGCGACAGGCAATGCAAACCTGGAAAATAAAAAAATAAAATTTTAAAAAAGGTTGCACATTCCGCTTTCTTGGTGGATTGACATAAGATGGGACAATAAGCATTAGAGAAATTCTGGTAATGGTCTGCAAATAATCCTTCGAGGAAGGGAGAATTCAAGGCAACTATTTCAGTGGTGTGAGTCCAAGACTCCATTGATCCATAGCTTATCTTGTGCATTATACATTTGCTGTAGCTTTCCTTCACGGTTTATGCACAAAGGAATTGGAAGTATTATTTTTCTGTAGATTGACAATTTTCCTCCCCTTTCTTCTCCCTTTGTTTTTCCTCTGTTCCCTTTTTATTGTTCATTTTATTTTGAGGGGAGGGGAATACCCCCTTGGCCTCCCACCACCGCCCATAGAAGTCCATCCTCTAACTGCATAAGGCCAGCTTGCTCGCTCTCACCAGGGAGGGAAAAATGACATTCTTGAAATCAAGTTACACGGGAGTGCTCTACAGCAACCACCATGGGGTACCTGGAATCTGAGGCCAAAAATACAATTTCAGGGGTGAGGCATTTGGTGCAGGAAGGACTCTGAATCCACCCACACATCTCATGCTGTGCAGTAAACTAATGGCACCTGCACTCTCTGTGCTTTATACTAGGGCAACCAAATAAAAATCTAGACTGGATTCCAGAGTCGCATATCTATCAAAGTATTGCAAGCCAATCATTGGAACTGTATGGATTAGGTGACTCTTGCTGTCACAAATAAAGGAAGAAGACTGATCTGAAGACTATCACAAGACCAAATCCTGTCTGCATCCAAGTCACAAGCCCATCAAATAAAGTGCATCAAAACTATTCCTTTGTCACTGTTCACCCTCTTCCTCGCTTGTGACTGGTCTCGTAAATGATCTTATCTGGTCTTGTGATCGTCTTGACTACAGCACTGCTTAAAAGCATTCTGGTAAAACAAAAACCAGCATGCAACAAAGAAAACACTTGTTAATTAAGACTTCTTTTAGCACCTGTCATATTAAACTGGATAAATGCACATTCTCATTAAAGTTAGTTTGTCAGTTCGTTCTGTTGTCTTGTTCAAACAACATAGAGTACATAACATTTAAAACAAAATTCCTCTTTCTCTGCAGAGTTTCAGGCATACAAAAAATACAAAACCTTGCACCTTTGATGTTAATATACATGTAAATATTCATGTTTTAAATACAGTAACTATTACAGATACCACAGGGGAAAGAAGAGGGCAAGACAGGACTTGAAACAAACTGATCCAACTTGGTGGTCTGCTACAGACCTCTATCATGGGTCAGCCATCTTGCTTTTCTACCAAGCAAAGTAATGTAACTAAACTGATGAGGCTGCGAGGAAAAATATTCTGTTCCCTTTTATCACCATGGGAAATTGTATTACCATTGCAATGGGTCTACAGGAAACAAGACAAACATGGCAGCTTCATGATAAAGGTCTATGCAGCTTGCCCAATGGAAGCATGTGCTGTGCCATTTTATCAAGTTAGAGAAATAAACTACACTAAATAAATCTATGATTAACTAACCAGAAAAAAATAATGTGCTAAATGTGCGAGATTCACTCTGGATAAAAAACACGGATTTGATATGAACATTCTAACTATCTAAAATATCATTTAAAATCATTGTCTTGTTTCACAATGCAAGGGAGTAAAAGGTCATAATGACATTCCAGGTTTATGGAATCCTACAGACTGATTTTGTGAGTCTAAAGCTAAACCAGATTTTTTTCAGGCCCTCTCATAACCTGACCAAATGAGGAATTTCCATTTTTGTGCTCCAAATCAATGTATTAAAATTTGACTTATGTTGAGCTGGAGATCTCCAAAGTCAGGGGCCTACTTGGAGCTTTAGGCCATGAACAAGTAAAAGCTGATGGTCCAAATAGTAAAATATTTCAAAGTTTTTCCATCCAGCAATTTACGTTTCACTGACTGATCCCAGTTGAGCTGATAAATCTTTCAAGAACATATTTTGATAAAGACAAATATTGATGCTCATATAGACCCAAAATATATCAACATAAGCATCATATGTACAGTGTTCAAGATACTCCCCATATAACATGCATGCCCCCACCTTACAGGGTACTGTTCAGATACAAAATTGGAGAATTCTAGCTGTCAAGAATTATAAACTGTAACTGATAATATCTGTTTCTGATGATGGTGTTTCTTCATCAGGAAGAACCTCGGAATACCTTTGAAACAGCATTACAAACATTACTCCAAGTACCACTTGAACTTGATCCAATGCGACCATCAGTGTCTAGACAGTTTTGTCACTGCACATGGTCCAGTTTCATACGCATCGCTTAAATTCAAAGTTAAGATCTTGTGGACAGAGCGCCTTGCACAAGCCTAGATTGAGTTCTCCTGCTTGAACACACTGGATGAACAGTTTGGTTTGAAACTTCAGCCAGCTGTTTTGGACTTTGACTACAGTCTGAATTGGTAACCAGTGAAAAAGCAAACCACTGTGTTATCCAGGTGATACTGGGAATTTTTCACAAACTTGTTCGAATAGTTTTGATGCCAACCAGCAGGCAGGATCACTTAACCCAATAGGTACAGTAGGCACTGTGCCTTGGGCTTATGAAAAATGATGGCACCCATGGAAGAGGGCGAACAAAAATACCACACATTGGCAGTCTAAAAGTTTGGGCCTCTCTAATTGAATTTTCCATTTGGTGCGATCTTTAAACTTCAAAACCGCTGAAAATTTAGCACAAGATGTGTAAAAACTGTGACACCTTTGTGTACGAACTATGATCGGCAGAGGTAAGGAAAATACTTTCACAAATTTCTACCTCCATGGTCAGTCCAGTTTGGGACATGTGGCTCTCATTTCGTAAACATAAATAAAACATCACATGAGCTCGCTCAGAAGTTAGACTGATTATGGGAAAATTCCTTCCTTCTTTCTGACCATGAAATTATCGATACACCTAAATATCAATAATCCATACAAATATCGTACAGAACCATTATAGAAAAATAACAAATTCATGAACGCTACCTGTCTATCTGTATAACACAATTATACATATTTCCTTGCACCACCACGCAGACTTTATATAAAGTCGTCCAATCGTTACTCTTGATGTTTGTCCAAAGACACTGTGTGGCCTTTAATAGAATAATCAGTATCTACTAATTCATATTGTAAATTACTACCTGTAAATGTATTACCTGTTGTCGGGAAGCCCAAGAAAAACGAGTATACAATAAAAGCCTATTTACATCCAACTTGACCGCATTTGCGATCGAAACGTTAGCTGCCACAGTGGTTACTGAACTTCTAAAAACACTTGTTGCTGAGTTAGCTATGGAGTTGTTTTTCTACACAGGCTGAGAATCAACACCCTATTTGCATGGACTGAATCCCCCCCCAAAAAAAGAGTAGGTAAACATGCCAGCCCCTGTAATTGTACGAGATGATTTGTGGGTGTTTGGGGAAAATTTTTTTTTAAAACCTCAGAAAAAAGAAACAGTGAATCAAAGAAACAGTAAACTTAGAAGTCAACAGGCTTAGGAAAATAACATTTTGAATGCTGCTGAAGAGAGAATTGAACAATCAACTTTTGGCATTTTCATAATTTTTGACAATCTCTTTTCCACCATGACACCTTATAATTCCCCATTAATTATTCAAGACTGAATATATACGTTTTTCAATGTTTCAAGACTTAAATGCTCAAAAAGGATGACTAATGGATTTATCATTTCTGCAGAAAATTTTTCAGAATTAAGATCGAGTAAACTCCCCCAAGAGTACCACAACTGATCTTGTGTTAACTTCTACTGTCCAGAAACAAGGCTGATTGTATCATTTTAAAAATAATATATGACTCCATATACACAATTTATATCATGAAACCTGGAGATATTAGTTCTTCCCTCACTCACGTTATCCTTAAAAATGAAAGAATTAAAAAGTCTCATATATCTAGAGCATTTCATAAGTCTCAAGTTCTTACGTGCACAAGTCCCACACTAACATACAAAATGTAGCATCAGGTTCAGATGGTATGTTGAAGTTGTCAAAAAGACAACCCTGTGCATTGGTCACTATGGTCCCTACCCACAAACCAATCATGAATGCCGACGGTTGCCTGGCAACTGCACTAGA